GAGGGAGGCATTTGGAGAGGAGGAGGAGGAGGAGGTGACAGAGGAGGAGGAGGAGGAGGAGGAGGAGGAGGAGGAGGAGGAGGAAGAGAACCGGACGTCCCGGGCGACCAGGTGCATACCCATCGGTTTCAGGAGATGGAGCAGGTCACGCATCGAGAGCGATGCAGAGAAGGAAGGGAGGCAATCGCTGAATGAGGAGGGGGAGGAGGAGAAACATATTGGAGGCAGGGCAGATGGATGAGGATCAAGGGAGGCGGCGGAGAAGGACGAGGAAGGCTCCGCTGCCGCCGACGACGCGCAGAGTGAGCGAAAGCTGAGCGTAGAGTCGCACTCTCCACTTGTCGGCCATCCCGAACTTTCAGCCAGAACTTTCCGTCCTCCCTATATCTCCATCTTCCCCCTTTCTGCTTGTCCCCTCCCTCCCGCTCGGAAGTGCGTCGATCCCCCCTTGCCTGCCCGCCTACTGCCTCCGTCACACGCAGCGGCGTGCGAGCATCGTGCTCCCCGCCCACGTCATCCGCCACGGTCGCAGGTCAAGATGACCAGCATCGTGGTACAAGGGCGGCCAGGGTGGGAGGCGAGATCCATCGAGCACTTCCACGACACCGTGATCGACAGCGGAGGGCATGGGGGTGCAGATCGTCTCTCTCCCTCTCTCAGCTCTTGCGTCGCCTCCTGCGGCAGTCTGAGGAGGACGGGGCATGCAGGGATGGGGAAGAAAGGGGGTGGGAATAAGGAGGTGGTAACTTAGACACGAGTGTCAGACGTACAACTTGCGGCGGGGGACGAAGGGGGGCGGTGAGGAAGAGAGTGGAGGAGGCGGAGGAGGAGAGAAGATAGGACAGGGGCGGATGAGCGGCGGAAAGTGGAGGAGGAGGAGTGATGTTAGGGGTGCGGCAGAGGAAGGGGGGGAGGCGAGGATATGCGGGAGGATAACGATAAGGCGTGGTTTTGTCGAGCATGAGGGTCGAAGAGGGGCGAACGAATGGAGGTAGCGAAGGCGGAACAGAAGAACGTCGAGGAATCTGATGTGGTGGGGACGGGGAGAAGGATAAGGAGGATGGCAGGATTAGCGGGGAATTGAGGATGCGCAGTCTGGAGAGTGGAAGAAGTGTGGAGCGAAGGGGGGGTATGAAGGGGAGGATTGGGTAGAGGGGGCTCGAGCTGAGGGAGGAGGGGGCATGGGCACGTCCTTCTAGTAGAAGTTCGGCGAACACTTGGGAGTTTGGGGAAGAGGGATATTGAAGGGGGAAGGCGAAGGAGAAGGCAGGAGCAGGGAGGACTGATGAGGGAAGAGCTGAGTACCAGCTGCAATCGAGAAAGGAGGATGAGAAAGACGGGGGAGGGAGGAGACAGCTGGAAGAGGGCGGAGGAGGCAGAGGCGGAGGGGAGGGGCGGGGAGGGAGAGAGGCAGGGAGGGAGGGGAGCGGAGGAGGCGACGCGAAAGAGCGGACGGGACAAGGACACGATGGGGATGTCTGATGGGGAGAAGAGGGGAGTGAGGCAGGGAAAAGTTGAAGGGGAGGGAACCGAGGGAGGGAGGAAGGGAGGACAGGAAAGGAGGTTTAGGAGGAAGGGGAGGAAGAAGGCAATTGAATGATGCGGGGGGAGGCGTGGGGATGGAGATCGCAGAGATGATAGGGGAAAACGTGAGCCGAAGGCAGTGCTAGCAGAGCCAGTTAAGGTCGCTGGGAGTGTTACCGCGGACTGGCGGTGATGCCCCTCATGGCATGCGAAAGTTGCGATGCCGTCTAGCTTCAGTTGGGGTCGCCCTAGAGCATTTGTGGTGGCTGGGCGGTCGTGTCGGAACATGAGTTGCGCACGGTGCCCTTGCGAGTTGCCCGTATTCATTCAGCGGGCAGGCACCACCTACACGTATTTCAACCGCGATCATTATCGGCAGTTGCGGCAGGCTATAGAGGATTTTGATATGTTTGTTGATTGTTGGTTTCTTGTCGTGGATACTTATGTGGCTCCGCAATGTTTCCGAGTGCGTGGGTTCCGCTTGTCTTGCATCTAATGTGCAGCAGCATCGCCATCGCGACGGTGACTCTAGTGTCCATGCAGATGTGTCCAGCGTTCTGGTTGTGTGCCCCTTTCCGTCAACCCAGCGATTAGCCTACTCGCTCCTGCAGCCGTGTGAGTCGGGGTGCGGCTGCCGAACGGTCCTGGGTGCGTGGCTGCACTGGGGCTTCGCGGGGCGGGACTTCCTCTTCTCGCCATTGTTCTTGCCCGCCCCGCTCCGCGACCTGCCACGCGATCCACCCGCGACCCACCCACGGCCCATCCGCGACCTGCCGTTCGCCCGCCGACCCGCCGAGCTCCATCCGCGAGCCACCCGCGCTGCCTTGAAAGCGTCGGCGTCTGCGGCGTGCTGCTTCTGGCTGGCCCCGGAGAGCGCTATGGTGCGCCGCAGTCGGAGCGCACCCTCGCTCCTGTCCGCAATTGCGCGGGACACAGCATTCTGGATCCGCGGGGCGCAGGTCATCGCATGTTACTGCGACGCACTGGCGCACTCCGGACGCGTCGCGTGTGCATCAACATGTGCTAGCTGGTCACAGGTGTACAGAAGTCAATGTCCAGGGAGTGCTAGCGCAGGTGCAGCATTCATTCGTAACTTTCGTTGACCTGCACCGTTGCCACTATCTTTTCGAGAACGTGCCATTTCTGGAAGACTGCTAATTCGTTTCGGTCTCGCTTCTAGCACCTGGTCGTATACAGTCTCACGCTTTGTGGACCCAATTTTGCTGCCTACGATTGGCTCGCATATGTCCTGTGCTTGTCCGCATCAAAGTGCCGTGTGTCAAGGGAGTTGAGCATCACCCGTTCACGTCGCGTGTTGCCACACACGTTCTCCACATCCGGTATCCATACATGTCTCACTGTGTACGCGTATCTAACGCATGCTCGGCGCGTCAATTGAAAAATGGAGTTGATTGACTATCTGTTGGTTGTCAGTTTGTCTCGCATCTGGGTACTGCGAAGGCCTCACGGCCGGTGCCGCCGACCCTACAGGGAAACGACGGCGACGGCAACGGCGATGACGATGACGACGTTGACGCTCTGGAGCCCAAAGCTTCTCCTAGGGAAAGGTGCCCCCCCCGGGGGTGTGGGCCACAACCCCCAGGATCGCCCCCCCCCCCCCCCCGGACCTCCCGCCCCACCCACCCCCCACCGGGCGGGGAAGTGACCACAGGGAAGGGGCTGTCCTCTTCGACTCGATTAGGACATTGTTCGATTTCCACATGGCTGGGACGCTGGAGGGGGAGCGGCGACGACGATGAGGATTCAAACAGAAAATCCTTTCACACACGCCGACATGGTCGGCGGATTTTGTTTCTGGTTATACGCCTCCGTCGTCATCCTCCAGCTGGTACTCCTTCGCATCCTCTCCTCCTCCTCCGTGACGCCCTCGTATCTCTTCTCATGATCATTGTTGTTCTTGTCAACCTCCCTCGTCCTTATCATATTCAACCGTGGCCAATATGGATCAAGGTCGAAGGCGGTGCACTCAGAAAGTCGTTATCGCTGTATCGCGTGCTGGTGGACGGTGATGCCGTCTCTTGTCCCACAGTTCGATTGTACTCATCTGGCTGCTACAAACGCTGCCACTATGCCAACGCAGCATCCAAACGCATGCAGGATGGTCCTACCGAGTTCTTTCGAATAGGCTCGGTATAATTATATTTGGACCGACTGGGATGTAGCGCCAATTTGATGTAGCAAAGCGTGGCGCTGACTTTGCATAATTGTCGGATTGTTTGTCGTGGCATGTTCGGTGGCTCCTTGGCCGGACATCAAGGATGCTGACATTGTCTGGTCTCGCATCGGCCGCGGATGTGAATTTCTTATCTCCACCGCTAATTGGATCACCAGGGTGCGCCGTCATTTCCGATTCACGTCAGCGCGGTTCGCTTGATTCAATGTTGATGCGATGTCAGATGATAGTTTTCCGTGTTCTCAGAATAAGGCGGTGGACATTTGATATGTTTGGAGGGGATGGCCGGCTCTGTTCCAGACACACTGTCACAAGGAATTCCATTGTTTTCGGGTATAGCCAGGACCCCAGGTAAGGGGACCCGGTTATTGGTAGGGCCCCAGAGCCCCTAAATTGGCCAGAATCACTACACCAGGTCTGCCATAGTTGGTGTTTTTTCATTTGACGGCAGTTCCGGTCAGTTGAACGGGGCGAGGGGGCGTCCCCCCCGTCACACATCATTAAACCAGGTCCCACTAAACCCAGTTCTGCCAAGGCCCGATGTTTAACGATTTCTGTCTCACACGATTCAATACCATGATACAGGGTAAACGTCCAGTTTCGTTTGAAGGGTTCGGTGGATCCATCATTCTTAGTCATTGTAGCCGCAACTATTGGGGCAACATCATGTGGCGCTTCATCGCCATAATTTCTCTGGTTACTTTCATCATTACCGACCGGCTCGCGTCGATTCGCGTGTTGGCAGGCCGTGCTGTTGGGAGGCGGGCGCGCAAGTTCTTGAAATCCTACGGGCTCATTTCGGTTGAAGGTCTGGTGAGGGTCGCCTTTTAATGTATGTCCACCTCAAGCTTAAGTCGGGGTTGTCCCTCTACAGGAGGAATATTCAAAAAAGGTAAAAAATAGTCTGGGGACGATTTGTCGGACTACTTGTGAGTATTGTTGAGTATTTTTTAATTGTTGTTGCCCATTAGCCGCCTGTAGGGGGACATGCCCGACCTAAGCTCAGGCTGAAGGAGGGTAATTTGTGGCTGTCTTATGCCTTCCGATGCCTGAATGCACCGGGGGGCTGGACGGGAAGAGGCCAAAGGCTTGGTGCTGTTGGCCACCGTCTCTTCATAGCATTAAGATGGGCCTGTCCCTCTACAGGAGGAATATTCAAAAATAGTCAACAAATGGTATGGCACCGATTTTTGTTTAAATTTTTGATTATGTTTGGGGCATGTTTGGGGCATGTTTTATTTATCGTCCACAATCCGCCTGTAGGGGGACATGAACGACCCAATTATAGCACTGAGAAGTTGTCGAGGCGGTGGCATCATAGCTCCGTTTGAGTGGACATCGACCGATGCAATGCGTTTCCACTCGTTCGATCTGCGTCACAGCTACGGGGGGGGCATTAGTCCTTAGTGTTAAGTCGGGCCTGTCCCTCTACAGGGGGAATATCCCAATCTAGTCCAAGAATAGTCTGGGGACGACTGTTGGATTCGGTTTGCCCATTTGGGGCGTATTTTTGCCAGTCTGTTTGTTATTTTTCGCCCGAGATCCCCCTGTAGGGGGACACGCCCGACCTGACATCAGTCTGGGGACAAGTGTTCGATTATCGTTTGTCAATTTAGGGAGTATGTTGTTAGTGTTTTTTTTCGCTTGTAGGGGGACGCGCCCGACCTGACATCAGTCTGGGGACAATTATTTGATAATTTGTTTGTCAGTTTAGGGAGTCTGTTTTTAGTACTTTTGATGTTTCGCTTGTAGGGGGACGCGCCCGACCTGACATCAGTCGGGGCCCTGAAGAAGGAACCCTTTTCGTTCGGGAGGGGCTCCGCGTTCCTTACGTGTTTCACAGCTTGCCTCAGGCTTTCCTTATGTTTTCGATGGGACATCGAAGTTTAATTCATGGAAAAAGGGGCCTCGTTCCTTATTTTGGGTTCCTTAGGTCAACGCCCCGACTGTATGTTTTTAGTACTTTTGATTTTTCGCTTGTAGGGGGACGCGCCCGACCTGACATCAGTCCTTGGTGCCCCCAGGAAGCTCAGAGCCCCGAATCATCAGGGGTACCTCGGGTCTGGGATAACTCGGGTTCGTTTTTCGGGAATCCAAACCCGAGTTACCCCGGACCCGAGTTACCTCGGATAACTCTGGCGTCCAGAGCCCCGAATCATCAGGGGTAACTCGGGTCAGGGCTAACTCGGGTTCCTTTTTCGGGAATCCAAACCCGAGTTACCCCGGACCCGAGTCCCCCGGATAATTCGGGCGCCCAAGAAGCTGGAGGCACACGCGCGGCCGGCCCGGGCAGGCGCAGGGCACGACTGCGGCCGCGTGCCGCTGCAGCGCTCGGCCCCGTGGCACGGCTGGGCACGTCGGCCCTCCTCGTGCTCACCCAGCGCGCGGCTCCCAGAGCCTCCTCCTCCTCACTCCTCCCTTCTCCTCCTCCCTCCTCCCCCTCGTCGTCCTCTTCCTCCTCCCTCCTCCTCCCTCCTCCCTCCTCCCTCCTCCTCCTCGTCGTCCTCTTACTCCTCCTCCTCCTCCTCCTCCTCCTCCTCCTCCTCCTCCTCCTCCTCCTCCTCCTCCTCCCCAGATGCTCCGCACGTGCATGCAGCCATGTGTGTGCTTCCAGCTTCCGGGCAGTTCCCCGCCAAAGCGGTATGCTCCTCTGACCGCATCGCTGGAGAACTTGGGTGCAAGCTTGCCGCCTGCGCCGCCGATGGAGAGCGGCTTCCTGACGCTGCGCTCGTCGGATATCCCAGCTGCCGAACGTGGAAGTGTGCATGCCCTCCTCCCTCCTCCCCGTTTCTGTTCCCATGGCCCGTCGTTGTGCCTCCTTTCTCCCCCCTCCTTTACCAACCGTATGGAGTCGGGGGCGGGGGCGGGACAAGAGCTTATCCATCGTGCTCCTTCCCAAGCCTCCTCGGCCTTCTGGGAAGAGTCTGCAGGCCTTCTCTCTGCCAGCTGCCCGGGGGACTCCGAGTAGAGTCCCGTCGCTGGCCTCGTGTTCTCACACGTTGGCCTTCACGCTTGCGGCAGGCCTTTGTTAGGACAACCACTTTACAAACCGTATACGGTAGGTTCGCGTCGTGTCGACCCGCGCTGACCCCGCCGCCGGCGTTCAACGTTGAACGCCGCCGGCGAACCAGAATCGGCCGATGATGAACGATCCGACGTTGTGCAAACGGCCGATCGTTCAAGGTTGAACCCTGCCCGCGGGGTCAGAAAC